CAAATTTATTTTTTAAAAATAGTTTTTTTTCTTGGTTTTATATTATTGTTTATTACCAAACCGCGTGCAGTAACTTGCATTGTTTACAATTTGATTGGTGTGATGAATATGTAACCAAATCAAACTCTCTGATGTCTTAATTTTCTAGATTGGATGAGTTACTTATGCTCATGGGGCCATATAGATGGTCGAAATTGTAGTGAGCAGTGATGATCCTAAAGATTTGTTATTCTCTTTTTCTATTTTTTTTAAAAAATTATGGATTGAAATATAAAAAATCAAAGACTTATGAATGGGGGGTAAAGGTCCGACATGAAATGAAAAACAATTATTTTAACTCTCATCACAATTTATAAATTGGACCACCAAAGAACATTTTTCTTCTTTCCTTTTTTGCATGTGGGTGCATTTCGTGGTCTGTTTTGGTCGCACATTTGTTGTGACAAATTGGAATTTCTCCCACAAATGTGGGACTAAAAGATAAAAAAGGAATAAAGATATATTATCCATGTGATTTATATGATATTTTAGATCTGATTATATAGTAATAACAAAATAACGAATAAATTGCGTTTCAATTTTATCGAAATAGTTCTTATTTGGTTAAAAAATAATGATTATTTAATGGTTAAATTAATTGGTGACATGACACATATATATGATTTTGAATATTGACGTGATGTTTTTACATGTAATCAATATTTTACGTTAAAATTATATTTTATTAGTGAGATAAATTAGAAACTAGTAAAATAATGATTTTGTATAAATCAATTTATTTCAGTGGTTAAAGGAATAGTTGTTTTTCTTAGAGATCATCGGGTACGAGTACCGGTGACTACAAGGGTGATTGAGTGCTCCTTGTAAAATGATTAAGAGTACTTATAACATATACTACTTTGGGATCACATTTAGCTTAATCAGGAAAAAAAGATTTTTTTGTCTATCCGCTAAACTAAGCTGCAAACTTGTTATAAAATTGATAAAAATATCATTTAAGTTAAACCGTGATTAAAATGAATTAAATATATATTCATAAAAACACATTAATTATAACTCAATAAATAATTCCCATTCAAATAACAACGAATTTTAACATTATATCCTAAGTTAAAATCATTGTTATTTTCAACAAAACTTGTTTACTAGAACAAAAGTAGCAACACCCAGTACCATCTTTGATTGAGCAACCAAGTGTATGGTGGAAACGAATTTGTTCCACTCAATAAAAACAAAGAAACCACGACATACACGTGCAAGAAAATGTAGGTGACCCTAAAGCTTCCTTTCCTCCATGAATAATTAAATTATTGCATTTGGGGTGGACGACCCTACCACTCCAAGGTATAAAATTACTACAGAATGTACCACTGCAAGTGATATTTCATCTTACTGCTGCAAAGAGTTGACCCTTGTCGGCTGCTAATGCTCCCGAAAACAACACTCGTTACTAATTTACACTAAAGTTATCTTTTTCGTTGAAATTAATTAAGCCTATGGTACATATATATTAATAAGATCACATCATTTCTGATATCAGTTATCAGTCAACGACACATAAATAGCTTCACAAACAGTTCCTAGAGACCCTAGTCTTTTTGTTCATTATTCCAATGTTGGCTTTGTCTCCGACCAACAGTTTTTAGGTCCAATGCTTATTGTGCAAGTTAGTCACGCCTAATGTTTTGGTATAAAAATATTTTCACTCGTCTTCAATAATATTTGATATATTAATAGTATATAAAAATGTATTTATTTATGATAATATTAAAATTATGATGACTAGAGATAATTCATTAATATTAATTTATAATAGAATTATTGTCGTTCAATATTGTCTGATTCTTATAAAAAAAAAAGAGCTCGAGAAGAAGTCATTTTTCAATATTTACTGGGAGATTTTATTGTAATATTTACATTCATTTATTGTTAGTGTCAGGTCTAAGATAATGGTTATTATTTGTAGATTCATATATTCAATTTAACTATCAAATAATATACTTGATTATGACAAATTACACAAACGTGTCAAAAATCATGTTAATAACTCATTTGTTGTCTAAAAAAAGGTGATATTCCAAAAGTTTAAATATATCTTTCAAAAGATTTCAAAAATCTCAACGTTTGTTGCAGATGAAAGTGTAATTAGAAATATTCTCTAAAAGAGATTTAAAAAATGTATAATAATATTTTGAATATAATTTTAAAATGTCACTTATTAAAGACCAGCTCCTAAGGCCATTCCACTAATGAATCGGTCCCAAACAATAATTAAAAGTAATCGTTGTGATTCTATGCTTTAAGACCGCGGTGGTTGATGATTATGGCTTTAACAGAAGATGACATATCCGGACAAACCAGTGTAGCCACAGTGGTCAGGCTGCCGCTGAAAACCCTATAACAAAATATGTATTCAACTCACATTTAGGTACTGTCTAGCTTAGGTATAGGATGGTCCAATAATCATGGATTTGCTTATAAAAGAATTTTGGGGAAAGGGTCAATGGATGGACCACCCTATAAAGTTCTTTTACAAGTTTCAAAAAGAAAAAGAAAGAAACTAATCCCAAAAGTGTGTTCGTGCTTCAGACGTACAACCAGACCACTCCCAGGTTATCTTTTCTACAATTTATGGTTATCTTTTCTACAATTTATACTGCCTCTCACCTTCCCCCGTCTATTCTGGGCTGCTCCTTCAATCATTCGTACGTTTTCTCATTGCTTTTGTGTGTAAAATTAGTAGTAAAAGAAACTCTATCTTTGCATGAATCAAACTCCCTCATTTATTATAAAGATTTGTTATCTTTAGAAATTTTAGTTAAAACACTAAAGATTACAAGAGTTGAGTTCTTATTATCAAATAATTATGAATCTTTAGAATAGATGTTATCTTATGATAACTCTAAATTACTAAAAGAAAACCCTTATCCTTTGTCTCATAGTGTAATGATATTAAAGGTAAAGTACATTCTTTTACGATCTTTGTCTATCATTTAATTGAACTTTTTTCTTATGTTTCACTTATTTTATAAAATGAAAAACCAGTTTATTCTTTGGATAGCGCTCTAATCTAATATACATAGAATCAACTATTGAATTTGATTTTGATATTGCTGTTAAACGCATGTCATATTTAGAGGTACTTGATCATATTTATCCCAAAATGATTGATTAGGGTTTCAATCTTAATAAGTTCTTTTGAGTTTCAAGACTGTGCCTACTGCCCGAGTTGCTATTGGTTGAAGCTGTGTTTTGTGTTTGGATTTAAGTGTCTGTTTTAGCTGTTTTTACCTGACACGTTCTTCATTATTTGCTTATATTGTGTATTAAATTTAGGTATTAATAAAAATCTAAGTACTCTTTTGTTCTTTCTGCTGTTCAAGATTGTGCTTCGACTTGATTTTAATTGTAAAAGAAGTTTTTAATGAGGGTCTTTTTTATTTCTTGAAAGAAGAAAAATTTAAGGCTTGTAGGTGAAGATCTACTGGAAGTTACGTAAGGCAAAAGGAGCTTAAAGTTTCTTTCTTTTTGGTGGTTTCCTTATTCTTTTTTCACGGTGGGAACTGGGAAGTGACAATTGACGAAGTGTGATGAAGATGAAGTCAGACGGGTCATGAGTGACTGAACCTTGGAAATGGGGGGTTAGTTGCTAACATGCGCAGTGGGGATTCGCGGAGCTGACGTCGGCAATGGGTTTTTTTTTTAGGGTAAGAGTTAGAGTTTGCAAGCGGCGGAGAAAGCTTCTCCCGTAGGACCACCTGTTTTTAACGGACCAAAAATTAGTGTGTTTTTTATGCACTCGTTCTTTGTTTTCCCTTTTCCCACTCTCAGCTCCTCGCGCGTGCGTTAGGGACATCATCGCTTTTTCATTACAAAACATTTCGTGTTTTTTAGATGTTGGTTGTAGCTGTTTTGAAATTATTTATTAATCGATGACCGAAAATTGCCTGAAAATGAAACATTTTTAATAGTTGAGTTTGTATTTACTATTTGATACATTGTGTAAAATCATTAAGAATTAAATATTTAAAACATTGTCAACAATACTCAAATAATGCCAATGATATAAGAGAACAACTCCAATTATTAGGGCACGATAACAATTTTTGGTAAAAATAATACTCTTAGATTTCGTTAAATTTTAAAATTAAATAAATTTATTTAAATAAATTATAATTATCATTAATTCGTAAATAAGAAATTTGAAAATAATTATTCATAAATATCATATTATCTATTAATTTTATTTAATTTTAATTAATATCATAATAAATTTGATCTATAATATTTATTATTTATAATGACAACTCAATAATAATAATTTCAAATCTCGAAGAAGGATGGAATGTGAAATTGAGTGAGCTTGACAAGCTTAAGGGTGCGCGTATATTAAAGCATACGCTCCGATAATCAGAAATAAACAAGGAAATATAATAAAAACATATTAAAAGGAAAATATAAAATTTATTTTTTAAAGAAAAGCAAGAAAAAAAAGATGCGGTCCCACCCCATTGCAAATGGACTGTACATTAATAGAACAAATTAATTAAAATTATAATTAAAATTAGATGGGGAATACTTGGACCACTTCCCACCCTCCAATATCATAATATCTCATTTGATCAATGATCTAAATATATTAGTTCTAATTTTTATATAATTAATAAGATACCATGCTTTAATCGATAATATATTTTACTTATAAATATTTTTTATGATTAAAAAAAATAAAAAAGGAGGTGACGAGGTCAAATGTATTTTTTAAAAATTAATTCATTTAACGCATTAAAAATGATGAAAAATATAATATTTTTTGTTTGTTCATTATTGGTAGCTAATAACATTGTTTTTTTATTAGAATTTTAAACATTGTTGAATAGTATTTTCCGTGTAATTCTTTAATTGTTTGGTTATGAAATAATTGAGGGGATTTTTCATAGTTGGATGTGTATTTTGGATGTATTTTTACATCATAATGCATTGATGACCAACTTGAGCTAGAGAGATATAGATAGAAGGGAAAGAGAGGGAAGAAAAAGGCAAACCATGTTGAGAAAATAGAGAGAGAAAGAGGAGAATATATGAGATAATGAGAAACTATGATAATGGCTATATACAAGGGTCGTCATCACCTCTATATCTGAGCTTCTATTTCTAAATAATATATATGTCTTTCTTCCTAGGTTTGTATTTTCATGGCAGACCATGTTGGCCATCAGCTCCTCTTGTTCGCCATCCATGTTCTTTCTTTCTTTCTTCCTGTTGATTCTTTAACAGCATAGTTTCAGCTTGTTCCCATAACCGGTAAGGCCTCCCTCTTGCATTAAAGTTTGGTCTAAAAGAAGAAAAAATGAAAAGCCAAAGCTTTCTCTTTTTGTTTGTTTGTATGATCAAAAGGGTTTTTTTTTTTTGAAGTCTCATAAATTTTGTTTACAAAAGATTGATCTTTTGTTTATCAGCTTTAATTGTTGTTGTTGTTTTTATGGTTTCCCTTTGTTCTTGGAGTGGATCTTGATGGAGTTATTGATGGCTGCAGAATCAGTATCTGAGAAGCTGGTGAGCAAAAGAAGCATAAACAAAGGAACAGCAAAGTTGGATTTAAATGGCTGGAGAGCTGTGTGAAGATAAATTAAGGAATATTGTCTCGTCTACTGGTTTTTGTTACTCGGATGTTTCATCTGGTAACTCGACCATGCAAACTCATATGGCGAGTCAGATCCATGGGTTTGAATCCAACCCAGAGATGTTTAATTTGACAACAGGCATGGAGATGATAGGGTTTTCCAAGCAAGGTGACACCAACATGGCTATGTGGAAAGGGTTCTTCAACAAACATGGGAACAACACATCAGGCCCTTCTTCTTCTTCTTCCAAGGCGGTCAATGAGTCAACCACCGATTTCTATCAACATGAGTTTCACAAGCCCGAGTTCACAACTGGGTCAGAGAATCTGATAGTTGGACCAGAGCCATCTACTTGGCAAGAAAACAGGTTGCTTGTTGATGATTCTTCTTTGAGGTGTGTGATTCCTTGTGAAGGAAACGAGAGGCCAAGTCAAGGTCTTTCACTCTCTCTTTCATCGAGTAATCCTACTAGTCTCGGGTTGCAGTCTTTTGAACTCAGGCAAACCAGCCATGGTAATCATGACCAGACTGTTGGTTTCTTTGAAAAGCCTGCAAATTTGCACCGTCAAGGGCAGTTCCAACTGAGGAGTTCAAAGTACTTGGATCCTGCTAAGGAACTTCTGAATGAGTTTTGCAGCCTGGGAGTAAAGCAGTGTGATATTTCAAAGCAAAAACAGACCCGTAAGAACAAACAGTGGGATGATGATGATGATGGAGCTAATTCTTCAAGGAAGCAATCCCTATATTCCCTTGACTACTCCGAGTTGCAGAGAAGAAAAACCAAGATGCTTTCAATGCTTGAAGAGGTATGGAGTTTTGAAAATTTTATTGTGTGGTAGATTGAAATGGAGGGGTCTCAGTCTCACCATTTAATGCCCGCCACATCGTGACAATTCTTGCTTTTCATTTTCATGTCAGCATATGTTTCATCTGCCTATGTATTACATGCTGTAACTCTCTTTTCTTTTCATCAAACATGTACGAACACAAAATTCAACTCATTGTCGTGCATATTTATTTAGGTGGATAGAAGATACAAGGTTTACTGTGATCAAATGAAAGCCGTTGCATCTTCGTTCGAAGCGGTAGCTGGCACCGGGGCTGCATCGGTCTACTCGGCGTTAGCCTCTAAGGCCATGTCGAGACATTTCAGATGCTTAAGAGATGGGATCGTGAGACAGATTCAGGCCACGAGGAAGGCCATGGGAGAAAAAGACACGGTTGCACCGGGCACAACGAAAGGCGAAACACCGAGGCTAAGGATCCTGGATCAAGCTTTGAGGCAACAAAGGACATTTCAACAAATGAGCATGATGGAGAGTCATCCATGGAGACCCCAGAGAGGTCTACCGGAAAGATCTGTTTCCGTTCTCCGAGCTTGGCTGTTCGAGCATTTTCTTCACCCGTAAACGTCCCTCGCCTCCCTTTATACGTAAAACACAAACTAGATTTCGCGGGATACCCAATGCTTTCCACCATGAAAAAAGAAAACAAACCCATGCAGAGTTGTTTACAATAGTGCAAGTTTTTCCTTAATGCTGAGTCTCAATCATTTTGCTTCCAAAAGCAAATGCATTCTTTGTTAGTTTCTACCCATCACCATTCAGATTCCACATGTTAGTTTTTTTTTTTTACAATCATTTAGTCAGCTTCTCTGTGTTATTTTTATGTGCATTTGATTGTATGTAGGACCCATCTTTCCCTCACAAACAAGTAACTCAAAAATTAGTATCCATGGCGGCAAAGTTTCAATACTAAACTATATCTCCATGAATGAAACTTGCAGGTATCCGAGTGATGTTGATAAACATATTTTAGCCCGCCAAACCGGCCTCTCAAGAAGCCAGGCATGTCCACATCCCTCACTATATCATATGTATATTTATATTCTCAATGGAGAATATCTTCTCGGGATCTTTAGTTTATTATACTCACATGCAACTATGTCACATTATATATATATATATATATAGATGATGGATTTTGCTTTTTACTCATATTCCAATAGGTATCCAACTGGTTCATTAATGCTAGAGTGAGGCTATGGAAACCAATGGTGGAAGAAATGTACATGGAAGAAACAAAGGAACACGATAACAACATGGTCTCCTCAGATAATGGTGTTACTGACGGTGATGATGATAATGGCCGGTTAATTATTCCACTCGCCGATCAGAAACCCACCCCGGACCAGCTCGTTCGAGTTGACTCGGAATGTCTGTCTTCCATCATCACTAACCCTGATAAAAACGATCCGAGAAGTGCCAAAACCGTCGAAAACCAGCAATTGCATCATTATCAGCAGCAGCAACAACAAAGTTTCGGATCCTATGGTGCCATGGAATGGGACTTCGCATCCTACGGTCATCACGCGGCGTGCCGGGTACCGCTTCACAACGCTAATCAAAGTTTCAACGGCGGCGGCGGTGGCGGAGGTGTGTCGTTGACGTTAGGGTTGCAACAACATGGTGGGAATGGGTTGAGCGTAGCCTTCTCTCCCGTATCACAAAATTCACTGTTTTACCCTAGAGACCAAATGGAAGACATTCAACCGGTGCAGTACTCGCTTGTAGACGGAGAGGGACAGCATTTGCCTTACAGGAACTTGATGGGGGCACAACTGCTTCATGATTTGGCCGGATAAATTGATGGAAATGGCAGTAGATAAGTAGTTTAGCAGGTGGCATAGATAAAAAACACTGAATACATATATTATATATATACATAATGCTACACTTTTGTTCAATGGCTGGTGGCTCTTTCCAATTTTAAGAACATATTTATTTTAATTTGCAAGGTTTAATTTGGGATTTTTCCAATTATTGATTAGGGTTACACATTATCTATTTCCTCTTTTGGGTGGAATCTATTTAATTGCAAAAGCTTTTAACCTATTATATGTCTGTTTGGTAGGCCTTCCTATCTATATATTCCAAGCCTAATTGATTGAGTTGTTTGTGGTTCTTGTTTTAGTTGAACTTACAAAATAAGATGTTTCATTGGGGATCATCTACATATATTTATTCCTTTTCTATAAGGACAAATTAATTTAGCCAATACAATTTGGTTGGGGATTAAGACAATTCCCCCCATAAGAATTATCGTTTCCAATTGTTTGTGGTCCCTAATTCATTTCCATGAAGATGATGTTTCATCTCCATAAGAATCTGAATTTTTTCCTATCAAATTCAGGTCTTAAAAATATTTTATCAGATATGTCATCTGAAAAGAAAATAATGATTTTATAACAAGTACTGTCATAACGACATTTCAATTATTTGATTTTATATCGAACACATAATTAACGAGATATATATGGTAGAATATCAAATCCTAGAGAGAGGCGGATACATTACTCTCATGCTGGTTTAGTTTGAAATAAACCCAAATCCCCAAAATGATCTAAAAACCTTAGCCAGGTTTCCAGGAAAGGAAGAAGCTAATGCCATGGAGATTGTGCCCTAATAAGTAGTACACCCCTATATCTTCTAACCGTTGCCTTAAACAAAAAAGGCAAAGTAATCTACTAAACCCACGGCAGACTATCCAAAACAATTACTAGACGCATTAAATAATCGAATACCTGACGTAAATGCTCACTTATTTTGCTAGCAATATCGTCATAATGACTAAAAAAATGTTTTAATCAATCTTGTTAATTGTGAAAATAAAAGAAAAGGTATACCTAAGAAATTAAAATGCAGGCATTGCCTAATTTGTCTTTTCATCTGAAGTTGACATACTAAGAAGAGCATTATTCTTGGAATGCAAAAGAGAAGGCATTCGTTTCTTCTTCTTCTTCTTCTTCTTCTTCACTTTTCTTTCTCAACCGCATGAAACGAACATGTGTGTAATTGCAGATGTGGCTGAAGTTGGCATGCCAAAGTATATAGTTTTTTCCACTTCATAATTCTAGAGCATGCAACAGTTCTTTTGTCGTATTTCTTATAACCGTGTTCGTTATGTATAATGTCACCATGCATCGCATGTTCGATATTTATATATGTAAACCCAATTTGGTTCGACTGTACATGAATGAAACATATTAAAAGAGACATGTGCAAAAGCAATGACATCAATATGTTTGTTGAGTATTTTCTCACGACGATCTTATTTAAGATCAGAGATAATATTGACACCAATTGATTTACTGTGTATTATTGGACGATGATCTTTAAGTTCAACATATTCAAGATTAAGACAATAATTAGAAAGTTGGCAGAGAAATGTTATTTTCTATAATTTTATAATTTATTTTTATATTTTTAAAGATAACACATTTTTATTTTATTTTACCTAAATAGAGTAATTAATTTTATTAAGAAAGAAAAAAAATCAAAAACAACAATGAAAGTTTAGAATTAGAATCACATATAATTACATATCACAATAGATGATTAAACTATTAAAAGACCATCAACAGAATAACAAATGAGTGTCATCTTAATCAATCGCGGTGACGTCAACTTCAACCTGTAAAGAATTCTTTTGATAGCAACCAAATGACCCTGACGTGGTGCATGCATGTACTGAGCTACTTGATTCACACTATAGGTGATATTAGGTAAAGTATGACATGCATACAACAACGCTCCAACGATGCTACGATATTCCCTTGCATCACACAGCAGGTCACCCACATCAGACTGTAACTTGCCCAGAACCATAGGTGTTACCACATAACTGGCTTTATCCATACCCCTTTTTGTCAACAACTCAAGGACAAACTTGCGTTGACTTAGCACTAACGATCCTCCACACCTTTCGATCTTAATACCAAGAAAGTAGCCAAGATCTCCTAGATCTTTTAATGAGAATACAAGACTTAACTGGAGAACCACATCATCAATCTCAATGTTTAAACCGCCAGTAACCACAATATCATCAACATAAACTAACATATACGTATAAACACCATTGTTATTGCGAATGAACAACGATGTATCAGCCCTAGACTCAGCAAACCCAAGCTGAAGCAGACATTGTTTCAACCATGCTTGCCAGTTCCTAAGCGCTTGTTAAAAGTTAATAAAACGCCTTGTTCAACTTGCACACAGGCTGGCTGCCATTTTTAGCATACTGCTCAAACCCTTGTGGGTGCTACATGTACACATCATCATGTAGCTCTCCATTTAAAAACACATTGTTTATGTCAATTTGACAGATGCCACCGTCTTGTCACAGCCAATGATAAGACCACATGAATTGTAGGAAATTTAATTAATGAACTGAAGGTCTCGGTGAAATCCTACCTTGCCACTTGTGAGTAACCTTTGGTAACCAATCGAGCTTTGTATCGTTGAATCGACTCATTTGGATTAGTCTTCAGTCTGAACAACCACTTGCATCCTACAACTGATCTCCCAAGTGGTAGCTTCATCACAGTCCATGTACCATTATGTTGCAACTCATCAATACACTGTTGTTTTCCAGTTGGGAGACTTCAATGCATCATACACAATGGTTGGTTCCACTATTTCTGAGGACATTACATACAACTTAGGTCTGAAAACACCACACTTGCTCCTCGTAAGCATATGATGAGTATTCACAGCAGGTGCAGTAGATACCAAGGATTCTTGCACATCATCATCATTAGTGTTAGATAACAAAGGTTCTTGCACAACATCATCACCAGTGTGCACATCAATTTGATCATCAGGGACCACTACCTCATCAAAACTTACTATAGGAACAAAATAATCAGTTACTTCTAGTGTTCCACTTCCTGAAACACCCTGCATATAATCATGTAGTTCACCAGCAGTCTCCAAAGTGTCTGTCACTGCTCGTAACTGCTGAACATCAGTTACAATCTCTAGATTAGTTGACTCTACTCCAAACGTCCCACCTGCACCTGTTGTAGAAGACTTGTTAGCTAGATCTGCAAATGGAAACACAAACTCATCAAACACCACATGGCGATATACATAAATCCTCTCACTCGATGCAAGAAAAAGATATCCTTTGTGTTGCGAGCTATAACCCAAACTCAAGTTTATGGGTTTGAAACAGTCTCAAATAGGGAAAACACTTGCACCCAAATAGTTTCATCGAAACATAATATGGTTTCTTCCCAAACAGCTTCTCACATAGTGACACACCATCCAAAATTTTGTTGGTAACCTACTAATAGTATAAACAACATTCATGTCAACATAAAACCAATATTGCACAGGCATAGACACTTGAGCTAACAAGACTAAGGCCATCTTAATGATATATATGTGATTCCTCTCCACAACTCCATTCTGCTCAGAGGTGTGAGGGCATGAAAGCCTATTGTTGAACTATGTTTTGATAAAACAATTTATGACAAAATATTTTTGGACTTGAATTGAATTTATTCAAAGTTTTTAAAGTTTTCAAAAATAATTCAAAGTCCATTTAATTTGGAATTGAGCACAAATTTTTTTATGAATAGTACTGTACTGTATGAATAGTACCGTACTGTATGAATAGTACCGTAATGTATGAATAGTATCGATACTGTGTGAACAGTAGTATCGATACCATGAACAGTAGTATCGATACTATAAACAATGCCAATGCTAAAAAATTCCAGAATGCAAAATAGGTATCGATACTGCATGAGTAGTATCGATACTGCATGAGTAGTATCGATACCATGAACAGTAGTATCGATACTATCAAGCCTAATGGTCATAAATTCAAATATTACAAAGGTAGTACCGATACTCATTAAAGGAGTATCAATACTCCATGTTATGGGCAGTTTTATTTTGCATAAAATGAATCCCAACGGCTAGAAACGACCACAAACTCATTCCAACCTATAAAAACAAGTTGAGGACACTTGAAGAAGATAGAGAACACCTATCCAAGCATTCAAACACAAGAGAAGAATTTTTCATTCTTATTTTCTATTCTCTTGTAAATATTTTGTTCTTGTGAGCTTTAATTTATAAACACCTACATTAGAGAGGTTTTCTTGTTTACATTTTTTTTTCTTGTGAAAAGGGGATTGGTTCTAGTTTAGCCATTGAAAAACTAGGGAGTTATAAAGGTTATCTCTTGATCCTATAAAAAGAAATAACAAGTTAGTGAATTTATTAGAAAATCCTTGGTGAGGAGCTAAGGTAGTGGATGTAGACTTGGTTGAGAAGTCGAACCACTATAAATATATGTGTTCATTGTCTTATCTTTTAATCTCCTTACTTCCTAAACACAAAAACCGATTCAACCCCTCTTGGAAAACTCTTTCTATTGTCTATTCGAGCTTCTGCAAATCCCAACACCTATGATTAATCCTATATTGTAGCAAAACTTGAGACAACATCTTGTATTCTCCACCACAGTCACTTTGAATTACTTTAATGGAAACACCAAACTGATTCAATACTAATTTTTAAAACAATCGAAACACCATGATAGGTTGAGCCTTGTTTTGCAAAAAATAGATCGATGTATGTCTTGAATATGCATCAACGAATGTCAAATAATACTTAAACCCTTTGGAGAAAACATGAGTAAAACCCCAAATATCAGTGAACACTAACTCAAAAGAAACATAATAAACAGAAGTATAATGAGAAAATGGCAACTTATGACTCTTTCCAATACAACATACATCACACTTTTCATTAACAATTGAAGAAATCGATACATCAATGGACTACAATATTATAACTGGCATGACCTAATCTCCTATGCCAGAGATCATATAGACTAGGGCCACTAACATCAGCAAGATTATCTTGAGCATTTTCACAAACACCTAACGAGCCAAACTCTGAAAACACATACATACCGTCTTTAATCTTCCCTGAAAGTAACACTTCACCCGTAGAACTATCACGAACATAAAACCCATGTGCATGAAGCTCAAAGTAAACTCAATTGTCCCTAACACACTTTAAAACCAAAAGCAAGTTGTTTGTTACACCAGGTACATGCAGAAGATCATTCAAAAACAACTGACGAGAGGATGAAGGTAAAATAACACTACCAACCATATTAACTTCTAATGAAATACCATTACCCACAACTAGATTACATGGACCAAAATGCTCAGCCTATTGAGTGATGTTCTTGGATTCAGGCGTAACATGATGCGTAGCACCTGAATCAATTACCCATTGACTCAAACTAGTCGCCAATTTAACATGAGCAAAAGGTAATTCATCTGCCTGAGTTGTCCTACGCTTCTTAGTGTGACAACAATCACAACTTGGAATTTTCCACAACTGTAAAGTTGGCACTAGCTGAACCTTGCTTAGGACGAAACTGACCAACATCAGTGAACGTTTCATCGAACCAATGTCAACATCGATTAACAAGATGCCCAATCTTTCCACAAAGTTGGAATTGAACATGTGGCCTCCCTAGACCACGTCCTATAGAACGACCACTAGAGTGAAAACGATATGCTGGATTACGACTATCATCACCAGCACTGCTTATCGTACCACGAGTAATATGAACACTCGCAATAACATTTTCTTCTTGAGCAACAAACCCATCCAGTTGCGTTTCAACATCAACCAGCATAGTATAGACTTTATCTAAGGGAAGAGACTCACCATTGGATGTTATAACAACCATGAACGGTTGATAATCTCTTGGAAGTCCTTTGATAATGTTGGCAATATGTTCCACAACAGGAACTGGACTACCACAAGATGCCAAAGCATCACACACTTACTTAACCCTGGTAAGAAACATCCTCATGATGTCATCCCCATTCCTAAGAGACTACAACTTATAGTGTAGATTCATAACAAATGTTGTGGATCGATTGGCAAAAAATTGTAAAATTGTATTCCACACAGCAACAGCTGTTTCTGCACCAACAAACTGAAGAAGCAAGTGATCACTAATGGTCGATAATAGCCATGAAGCCACAGCACTATCCTGAGCAAAAAAGTCCTCATACGCCTCATTAGCTATTAACACACCATGATCATCAGTAACCATCGCAGGTGGAGGTTGCATCGCACCTGTCAGTAACCTTTCTAGACGATGACTTCTCACAATAAGAAGGATTTTCCATAGCAAGAAGTTTGTCTCATCAAGAACCACATTCATTTTCTTATTTGTGAACATGATGCTATTTCTTGAAGCAATCTCCAGACGAACGAAACAACAACTTCAGTCAAGAACCGCCCTTCAGTTACGCAGCAAAGAACTCTCCAGGACGAATAACGAATGATACCATGTAAAGAATTCTATACTAAACAGCAAGAAACTGATTTATTATTCACTACTTTTACAGAGGCAGTAGGCCATGCTTATATAGGTACATTACAACTCACACACTCAATCTGGTAAGTGTAACCAACTCTCAACAAATTCTCAACTGCTCCCAATGCTCTCAACTGTATAACAACCTATAGTTCTAATAAATCCTAAGAAAATAAACGACAAAAACAATTAAACGATTGGAAATAAAAACAAAAAAATATCATAAAAATGAAGAAAAATGTCCTAGAGTCGAAGAAAATAAAAAGTAAACAAGCGGCTGTTTAGGAAAAAGATGAGCAAGCACTAGGATAAAGAAAAAATCCGCATTTGTTTAACAATCATATATTTTTATTATAATGCTTTATATATTTAATATTTATATAAAATTAAAACACTGTAATTCCAAGTTTTTAAAGAACCCTAAATGCTTTTTAATAATAATAATGAAAGACAAGTCTTTAGAAATATTTGAATGAGAGTGATGTCCATTACTCTTAATCTCCTTTCTTATTTCCACCATAGCGTGAGTTTGGGCCTACTGGAAATGCCTATATCAAATTGGGCCTTACATTGTAACTTTTGTTACTCATTTCCCAAATGGCACTGTCCCAATTATTGCAGATAGAAACAATATTAGACCCTAGGGAGATAAATTAAGAATACTAATAGGACATAAAATAATAATTAAGGATAATTTAAATTTAGTTCGATTGATATGTGTGAGTTTCATTCTAAGTGTCAACATGTGCATTTTTAAAAAATATTAAGTACCAAAGTATAATAAAATAAAAAATAGATAATTATAAAAGAAATATTAGATACTTAATTGCACAAAATTTAGAAACCACATTAGGCATAAATACAAAAATTTGGACCAAAAGTTATATTTACCCAAGCAGGAAACATATGATCTTTTTTAGCTGATCATAAAACCCCAAAACCCTACGTCAATACAGCGACGAAACACCACCATTGATACCCCATTATGTATGAAGAAGCTAACGGTGACTCTCACCCGCCAAGGACCCTCCATCAATGCCCTCATATCTCAAAACCTCCATCCCCGAGCTCTCAAAGCTTCTCTCTCTCCACGCTCTTCGTTCCTTACAGACCAAATCTACTCTCATTTCATCAAATCAGGCCATTCTCTAGACCCCTTTCTCTCCACCACTCTCATCTCCCACTTCGCCAAACATGCTGACTTCTCGCGCGCCTTTTCCTTCTTTCTCGACACTCCTAAACCCGACATAACCTCTTTCAACTCCCTCATCTATGGTTTCGCTCGGTTTAGCCTAGCCAGGCCGGTTCTTGAGTTGTTTAATGAGTTGAGGCATCTGGGTTTGACCCCTGACGTGTTCACATTGAGTGGTTTAGTTAAAGGGTGTGGGAGTTTAGAACAAAATGAGATTGTTCACGGGGTTTGTTTGAGACTGGGGTTTGGAAATGGAGCTTTTGTGGTTAGTGGACTGATTGAGAATTATGGTAAAAGTGGGAACTTGGTTTCGGCTGAGAAGTGTTTTGAGGAGTGTTTGGATGTTGATAATGTTGTTCTTACGGCTATGCTTTGTGGTTATTTTTGGAATGGGGAATTTGACAAGGGTAAACAGGTTTTTCTGGAATTGAGGGCTTTGGGTTGTGAATTGAATGAATTTAGCCTGACGGGTGTGATCAGTGGCTTGTTTGATGTAAAAGAAGGCCAACAGATCCATGGGTTTGGCTTAAAGATGGGATTTTTATGTGGTGGTTCCCTTCATCTTAACAATGCTGTTATGTGCATGTATTCTCGGTGTGGAAGTAAGTTGGACGCCGTTAAGTTATTTGATGAAATTACTGATCCAGATGTTGTCTCGTGGACAGAAAGGATAGGAGCAGCTTTTGATGGTTTTGAGGCTTTTGGAATTTTTAAGAGCTTACATTGTATAGGTTTGGGTGTTAATGAATATACAATGATCAATGTCTTATCTGCTGTTTCAGCTGAGGGTTTGGTATATTTAGGGAGGCAAATCCAAGCAGTTTGTCAGAAGGAAGGGTATTTCAAGGTTGTTTTTGTTGGCAATGCATTAATTTCTATGTATAATAGGTGTGGGAAATTGGATGATGCGAGGTGCATTTTCGATGATATGGTCTTTCGGGATTCTGTGTCTTGGAATTCACTGATTGCTGGATATTTGGCTAATGGTTACGTTAGTCGTGCTCTTGGGATGTTTTCTTATATGCGTGGTCATAATGTAGAAATGAATCCTTATACACTTTCTAGTATCCTTGAAGTGGCATCTGACTCTAATTCTTTGCACCTTGTAGTGCAGATACATTCCCATATGATTAAATGTGGATTCATGTTGGACGATTATGTGGTGTCTAGCTTGATAACAACATATGGGAAGTGTGGCAGCTTTGATGAGTCGAGAAGGGTATTTTTTGATGTCGATAAGATGACTGCGATGCACCTTAATTCAATGTTGAGTACTTTGGTTAATGCTGATTGTCATGCTGATAGTGTAGATCTCTTCCGAAACATGGTGGATGTTAAACTTGAAGTGGACTGCAATACTTTCAGCATCATTCTTAAAGCTTGCAGTGCTATGACAAATCTGGAACAGGGAAGAAACATTCACTCACTGGCTATTAAATCTGGATTCCATCAAGATTGCTATGTAGAGACCGCTGTTATTGACCTTTATTGCAAGTGCGGAAACATAGGCGATGCGGAGAGGGCTTTTAGTTATGCATCGACAGATAACTTGGCTGCATGGAATGCAATGATAACAGGATATGCTCAGCATGGTTGCTATAATGAGGCTTTCAAGCTTTATGATAGAATGATCGTATGTAGAATTGAACCAGATGAGATAACTTATCTTGGACTTCTTACTTCGTGCTGCCATGCAGGGCTAACGCAAGAAGCACAGAGCTATATGAACTCTATGGTCGAGTGTCACTGTCTAATCCCACATTTAGAACACTATGCTTGCATGGTTGATCTGCTTGGCCGAGTAGGTCTCCTGGAAGATGCAAAAAGGACGATAGATGAAATGCCTATCGAACCAGATTCTCGTATATGGCAGATTCTGCTCTCTGCATGTTGCCTCCATGGAAACTTTGATACGGGAAGACTTGCGGCCAGCAAACTTCTGGAGCTGCAGCCTGGTAACGAATCTGCCTATATTCTTCTTTCAAATCTCTGTGCTTCGGCTGGTATGTGGAATGCTGTCAGAAAACTGAGAAGAGAAATGAAGGTAAAACTACTTTGCAAGGAACCTGGTTCTAGTTGGATTCAAGTAAGGGGATCTACGCATTACTTTTTTGCCAATGACATGTTGCACCCTGAACATAAAGAAATATTTTTGGAGCTGTCAAAGTTGTACGAACATATGCAAGCTTCAAAGACAATCGAACACGATTCACTTTTTTATTGGATTTATGATCATTGAAAAGGATTCGTTATCATTGCTTTTGGAACTGAGAATATAGGTGTTTTGATGTTCTAAGTTATAGTCCATCTTCCTTTTCTGTCAGGGAATTTGATGTGATGAAACTTCTTGGATTTTGGCAAGTTCAATGGAAACTGGCAATTTAACTAAAATTCTAAGAACTTAACACAATAAAGAAAAGATGGCGAAGAAGAAGGATTGCTTCAATACATTAATAAGTAAATTCGGTCCATGGAAACTGGTAACCCTTCAAAGGTTTCAAGCTTCCTAATGGAGATTCCTTGATTCAATTCAAAGAAAATGAAAGAGAGCCTTTTCTTGGTGTCAAAGGTAAACTTGTTACTTTATTCCTTGCTCTACCATGTCATAGGCCATGAATCCTATTTTAATTTCAATACCCGAAAATCACTTTCGAAAACTTATTTTGTTAGGCCATGGCTATTGTTGTCAATTTCTCTTCCCAAGCCCTGAGGCAGAGTACATTTCCCAGGGCCATGGTAGACCTTGCCCTTTATCCCTTGCCTTTTAAGCCTTCACGCCAACTTGAGCAAATGAGGACGAAGAAGCAGCCGAACCGGGTGGCCATTAAAAGGTGGGAAAAAAATAAGTTTACCGACAACCGCGGAGTCTCTTCGATCGTGTCATCGTCAAACATTGATAGTGATTCAATTTCGGGTCAACCTTCTGCAGCTGATACGATCAAGCTTTTCTATGAGTGCATCAATGAGAAAAATCCTAAAAAACTTGGGGGTTTCATCTCAGAAGACTGCTACATCGAGGACTGCTCTTTCTTCAACCCATTTAACGGGAAAAAGGTTACCTCCCTTTGTCTTATTTAAGTTTCTTCATGTATCATAATTCCACAGTCCGTTTCAAAATCGTATTCGCAGGAGGTTATGCATTTCTTCGATCTGCTCATGAGAAGCATGGGTCAAAATGTGAAATTCATCGTCGAACATGTTTGTGAAGGAGATGGCTTAACAGTAGGAGTAAATTGGCATTTAGGTAAAACATTATATATGATATATCAACCACCTTCTTCCGAGCTTTTAATTCCCACGGCAACTTGAGATTATTTCCCGATATTGCAGAATGGAAACAGACGCCGGTTCCTGTCACCAGAGGATGCAGCTTTTATGAATGCTCGGTAGAAGGGGAAATACTTGTTATAAAGTAATATATAGCATATTAGCACCAGTTCTGGGCCATGTCTGCCGTCCATTCGAATTGACAGCGACTTTTGTTTCAATGCAGGAAAGCTCGGGTTATAATCGAGTCACCTCTGAAACCAGGGGGAGTGGTGCTGGTAATCTCACCTTGACAACTATTAACACTGCTTAACCTGTTAGCATTAGACAACAAAAGATTCAAATCCAAAGGGCTAATTAAGCTTCCTTCATTTCGGTTCATTCAGGTCCTGTTGAAGAATGTCACTTTGATATTTGATGAGTTCCCGCAGGCTGCTGAATGTATGCAACACAGTTCACATACATTCTGAAACTAGAAATATATACAAATCTATATTGATACTTCTTCTTGTCTGAATTCTGCAGGGTTGCTGAAGAGTCCAGATGTTATAATACAATCGGTAATGAAGATTTACAATATGTTTTTGGCACCTTTCATAAACCCACTAGTGGCGAGCTACGTTAGAATCTGGGAATTCATGGCTGGATTGTTTGCTTTGGCCATTAGAATCGTATTCTACATATCAAAGATGTTATTCAGGTCGTAGCTCAACCTTCATTTTCACATATGTAAACAGTAGCCGGTTATCTTCATTCATCAGTGTCAAGGCGGCACCACGTTTCTAAGACTGAGGTGGCTATGACAGAAGCTTGCTCAAGGCAACAGTGTGATGGGAACAAATACAACTCGAAATAATAATAAGTTATTGGGTTTTTTAAGAAATAATTTCACTGAAAAATAATCTAATCGTTATATATATTTTTATTATAATCAACATGCTGTGAGCATGTCCATATCTAAGGATCAAGTTATGTGACTTAAGTAATCCGGATTCGAACTATTTTATCTATAAATTTATGTATATTTATATTTTAAATTAGATATAAATATTATTTTATAATCAAATTAAAATATTCAAAAAAAATCATATAACATGATTTATATGTTTGTATCTAAATAATTTAACTCTTACCATCAACTCTTTCGAATTAAATGGTAGTTTAAGGTAATTTTATTTATCTTATGAAAATGTTATTTTATATTATCAATTAAAAATATGATAATTTTATAAAAAATTATAATTTACATTACAAAATTAAAAGATTAACGAAAAAATGATATATAATATATTAATTATGACCTAATATTTAAATTGTGAACATGTACGTATATAATATAATATTATTATAAAGTATCATATAAAATTAAGTGATCAATCATGTTACACTATAAATAAAGTATGAATATCATAAGTTTTATTTATATATTCAATAAGATAGAATTATAAATATTTATGTTGGGAAATAAACGAGAAATTTTCCTATAATCAGATTAGTGAGAATACGAAATAAAAGCAGAAAAAATAATACCCGAAATTGATAACGAAGTTCAACCAATTATGCCTACGTCTTCGGACTACTGCAGATCTTTTACTAAAGGGAGAAAATTTACAGGTGTTTACAAAAACACTTGAGAGAGAGCTAGAATGATTTTGGGATATGGGATCATTTTGAAGCTAAATGAGCTAGGGTATTTATAGTTGAAGCTTGAGGATTAATCTTGTAAATACCCTAAAGTGTGCAGGGACTAAAATCCATTTTCCCCATTTTTTATTTCAAACAAAGTGGCTGCCTAACTTTGAATTCTAAGCAGCCCCATTAATACTTCCAAACCGTTAGCTGTTGTGCAGTCATTATTGATTTTTTTTCAACAATCTCCCACTTGAAGACTGATTTTAATCTGTCTTCACACCTCGATCAATGCAGCAACATTTCTTCTCTTGTTACTCTAGCATGCCAACTGAAGTTGAACACAACTTCAGTTTGTCCGTAGTCACTGCCCTATAAACCCACTTGTTATTGGGTAGTTTCTCCGTGGTTGCCTTGTCCCTCAACGTCTTGGCTCCCTTCGACTCTTGTCTACTAGTCTTTGAAGGATTGTTTCTCACTTGAACATCCTTGGCAAGCTGTAACATCATCAATATCGGGTTTGTGACTAGTTTGAAAATTTTTAGAAATTGGTGATTAAAGTAGGATAATTGAATAGTTCAATGATTTATTGGAAATATATGATGAAGGTTATTTAGTAATTATGGAATAAATTAAAGGGTAAAATGGTCAATTGACAAGTAAGATTTTTATTCTTCCTTTATAAGAAAAGGAAACCATGTGGAAAGGGAGAGATTTCTCTAGAGTTCTCTTCTTCTCCTTTCTTCTTCTTCACGTGGAAGACAAGAGCAAAGGTAAGTTTGATTTAGCTGTTGATTTCTTGAATTTTTAAGTTTGATTTGAGTTTTTGGGGGTTATATAAGCTTAAGGAAAGCTTATATAAGTTTAAAACACCAAGAAGAGAGAATTTGAAATGAATTTCTATTAAGAGTTTATAAATGAACTTTTATTATAAAAAGGTTTTTAAAGTTCTAAGGATGAATTTGACTTGTCAAGGGTCTAATTAAGAAGTTAGAAGTAATAGAATTGAATTTGGAACATGTTGAAAATTTAGTGTAATTCTTGAATTACATATGGAGAATAAGATTTTGATGTTAAAGAGGTGATTAATGAATATAAATGAGTTTGAATATGAGTATGTAAGTTATGAATAAGAAAGGGGATGATATATGAAGTAATTAAGCTGAAAAGAGTGAATTTTTGGGCATAAATTGGAATTATGGGCTAGTGTGCATCGGTACACATTCATCATGTACCGATGCATCAAGGGTAAATTTCCAGAAATTGTTCAGTGTGTATCGATGCACAGGAAGTGCATCGATGCACCCCTTAAAAATAAAAACATTGAATGTAATTAGTGCATCGATGCATAAGGAGTGCATCGATGCACATGTTAAGGGATGCATCGATACACTGTAGAATGCATCGATGCACTTCAAGGGGAAATAGAAATAAACCTTTCTTTTGGTCTAAGAAATGATAGATTAGAGTATATTAATTGAATACTAATATGTATCAATGTATGATTATGTAGATATCGAACACGAACAAGTTCCGGTATGATCATCAAGTTAAGATTCGATCGAAAGAAAAGAAATCATAAAAGGGGATCGAAACTTAGTGAGGCCAATGTGAGTGCATATTAGATAGCATATGATGTTTAATGGAAATAAGACTTGCGATAAGTCTATTTCCTATAGTGTTATGCATGAATTCATGAACCTGAGCATGTATTTGCTATGAGTGTTTGAGCTATATGTTATTGTATGTGTGTGACATGATTTGAATGAATGATATGAATATGTGATATACGCGTATAAGAGATTAAGTGAATGAACCTTGATGATAAACATGATAATATATATGTTTTTGTAATCCATGCAAAGTAATATGAGCTATGTGATATAGGAATATGAAATCATATGAGAAGTGACATGATTTACATGAATGATAAAATTAAGTGTTTACATGTATATGTGATATGTGATTTATATGGAAATGAACTATGTGATATGAGATATATGAAAGAGAAGGTACATATGATAGGTGAATCATATGAAATGTTCTACATGTAAGTGATCAATGTGTATATATGAAATATGTGAAATGATATAAATCATAATGCCCATGTTCTATGAAATGAGAGCTAGAGGTATAGTTGGCATACCAAGAGTCGAGGGATTTTCAGTGGTTCTTCGGGACATAGTGGTCCTTCGGGACAAATATTCAGTGCCCTAGTGGAAATTATTCGAGCTGTGGTGACAACATTAGTGCACAACCTCAATAGACTCACATATCTTTAGTTCTCCAAAGTGTACATGGGCCAGTAAAGATATAATATAAATAAGAAGTAATATGATTGTTATATAATTGTGTAATTGGAAGTGAGTATATTGGTTGAATGTATTGCATATGTTACATGGTTTAATGCTATAATTTATGATTGTTTGATATGTTGGATTATAAGGAAATAAAATGAGCTTATATGATAAGTTATGAGTAATTACTTGAGAAATGTTGTGAACTCCATAACTATAAGTATATGTAATGGGTGAGTGAACTATAGGATTATATGAATAGAATAATTAGGATTGTAGTGTGAAATATACTTTGTGAATGAAATAGTATAATGGAAGTTATATTAGAATAGAGACAAAGTAAATAATATATCAAATAGAAAATATATATATATGAATAAGAATAAGAATAAGAATACATGAGATAAGTTATATAGGAAAGATTATATATTTCAATGAAAATATCATAAGAGTTAATTTACGATAAGTTACTAAAATATATATGTTTATGTGATAACTTATATGAAAAATGAATTAATAGAATATAAGGAGTTGTTATACAAGAATATGATATAGAACATGTCACCAAAACCTATGGGTATATGATAGATATAACTTATGGAATAAGGGATAAGATATGTGATTTTGGGATAGAAATTATGTGATTAAGAATTATATAGAAGAAATGATTAAATGATAATAGGAAAATGTGATAAGCTGAGTGGGATAAATACACAAGACTTTATAGACATGAAATAGTATATAAGCATAGATGATATAATGATGTATATGTATGTACGTATGTGTTATGTGGAAGTGTATATGAGGTTGTTTGATATGATAGTAGAAAACATGCATTCATTGTTAGGAGTCATGGTTACGTTATATATTTTATATATCTCACTAAGTCATCGACTTAGCATGTGAGTGTTTCACACGTAGGTTTCGGAAAGCGAGGAGAGATGTTAAGAGGAGCAAGATAGGTCAGCTCTCCTTTACAAAGTTCAGATTAGAAAAGAAATAAATGTGATTATGTATTTTGTTATGTTGAATGTAGTTGGCATGTACTAATTGATATAGTTGAATATGCTCTGATAGGATTTGTAGAACCAAATGGTTTCTTTTATGTAAAACAACGAATTTTATTTAATGAAAGTTAAAAATTTCATGATTTTTTTTAGAGACAAGTTTTGAAAAGTCAATGTGACACATCGGATTCGTATTCGGGTCGGATACGTGTTGGGGTGTTACACAAGCCCTTGCTTCGACCCTTCTCTTATGATGGTCTCTGAAGCCATGTTCTCTATACGAACATGCTCGGTAAACTCCTTGGTCACAGATAACTCTTCTTGCACTTGGCTTCTACTCGCCTTGGCAGAAATGAACCTTATTGAGACAACTCTCAATGCCTCTTCGATCCTGGGTTCGTCCTCTTCTCTGGATAACTCGATCTTGGGCTCATCCATCACCTTGGATGACTCGGCTCCCCTCGGGTAATTTTGCAACACTTCTGGCATCTTAAGTCTACGTCCCCTCATTTGCTCGACTCTTACCCTCGTCTTAGCATCTTTGACACTCGAACTTGTGCCAAGACTGCACACATCTTCCCCAGACTCACGATCTGGTTCATCATTGAGTGGACTTTCTCTGCCACTCGAGGAACAACATTAATCATCATTTAACTTGCCTTCATCATGGATTCGCTTGCCATTACCCTCAGCTTTCGGCTTTGTTTTGGAAGTCTTGTTTTTCTTGACTTCAAATTCTTTGATGGACTCAGCGGTTGTCAAGGCTTTAGACAACTCCTTGACTTC